GTTAGTTTTGCCTTTTTTTGAACTTCAACTAAATTAAATTGCTCCACGTATATTTTTTGTGTCTGACTTCTTTCACTCAACAGTATGTTTTTGTGAGATGCATCCACGTTGCTGCCTATAGCAATAATTCATTAATTCTCACTGCTGTATAGTATTTTCTTTTGCAAGTATGCCACAGTTTATTTCGTTTTAGTGTTGATGGTCACTCGGGTTATTTCTAGTGTGAGGTTACTGCAACAAATTATGCTGATCATAAATATTCTTGTACATGTCTTTTAATATGTATGTGCAGGAATTTCTGTTGAGTACAAGTCTATAAGAGAAATTGCTAGGTCAGAGGTTATGCTTATATTCAACAAATTATAAACAATTTTCCAACAGGGTTGTACCAATTTCATTCACACCAGCAGTATGAGTCTCATTGCTCTGCATCCTCTTCAAACCTTGACATTTTCAATCTTTACTTTTAGCTATTCGGTTGGACATGCAGTGATACCCTGTTGCAACTTTTAAGTTGCATTTTCCTGATTATTAACAAGTTACACTATCTTTCCATGTATTTATTGGCCATTTGAACATCTTCTTTTATGAAGTATCTGTTCAAGTTTCTTGCCCTTGAACTGATTCTGAGAAGGTGAGTAGACATTAGGCATAAGGCAGGAGGAAGGGCATGTCAGCCAGAGGGAACAGCATGTGCAAATTAATGATCTGCCCAGAGCATGGGAGTAAATGGACAGATGGTGGGAAATCAGCCACTAAAATGCTAAACTTAATCAGAGACTATGAAGTGATGACAGCAGAGATCAAAGTGAAACAGCACTAAAGAAGTACAGGCAGTCCCATGCTATACTACTTAGTGGATTCTGAGAAATGTGTGATGATCAAATATCTGAAAGTTGAGCAAAGCTCATACACTGGAAGGACAATTCAGTTTCCAATGACCTAAAAGGTAGTGTTTGTAAATGCCTGTTAATGCTTGTGGTACAGTTTTCCTGCTGGCCTAGGTAACCAAGTGGGTAGATGAGTGTCTCCTAGGGATGTCGGGGAGGCTATTGTTAGCAAGTTGCACTTTAGCCATCGTTGGTTACTCCAGTTGAGCCCATTACATACTTTGTGTGGGCCCACTTCTGTTCCTCATCCTTTCTGGCAGCTTCCATTCTTTAAACTACTCCCTAAAGCAGCCCTAACCTGGAAGGGGAAGAGGAACAAGGTCTCTGTTTCCCCTACAATAGCAATGTGAGCTAATTTAGAGCCTTGGCCAGCCCTGCAGCATGTGCCCACCTACGGAGAGTCCTGGCCAGCTGCACCCCTTTGAGAGAGGTCACCAAAAACACTTCTTGTAAAGCACCCAGGTATTTCATGGAAGTTGGACCCCAACAGCAATAGCAGTCAGGCAGCACCACCACACAGTAATTTCAAATTGCCAGTCTTCAGAGGATGAATGACAGACTGAATTCAGTTTATGAATTGTGAGGATGGGGTGGAGTCATTGTCTAATGGGCAAAAATGTGGGCTCTGTAAAAGTAGTAGGTTATCTGCAGGAAGAAATGAATGTCAACAGAAGTGCTTTGACCTACTTGCCTATTCATTAGTGAGCAGTTCTGTTTTGTTGAGGGCCCTTATCTATGTTGTCACATTTCTGTCACCGTGAGCAACACAAGGGCATGGCCAGGTTCTGGTACAAGCAGGCTCATCACACAAAAACAGACACCCTTGGCTCTAGAATCTCCACAAATTTCCCGACAAAATATCCCCCTTGACAGAATAGTGACCCTCCTGAGCCACCTGTAGATGGTCTACCATGAAGCCAGAGTAGTCTTCAGCCTCCGGGAGCCAAAGTTTCCACCCAGACACCCAGAAACTGAAGCAATCAGATCTGGCCTGCATAAAGGAACTTTTTTCTGGGTCATTCAAAGAATTACAAGTAGTTTCCAGGCTTTTAGATTTAATGGAGTAGTAAATTTTCAGAAAAGATTTCAGCGACCCCTATAAAGTTGCCAACTTCTTATTTTTCAAGTAAGGACTGTGATTGTGGGTTCTGTGAAGTTGTATTTAATAGTCATAGCTGTCATTTGTCATCTACTATACGCAAGGCTCTGTGCTTGGTACTTTTCCAGAAATACCTCTTTTGATCTTCACAATGTCCCTGCAAGATTTGTATTATCTTCATATTACAGATGAAGAGAGAGGCTCAGAGAGGGTAGGTAAATTACCAGATGCCACACAGCTAGTTGATGGCAGAGCCCTGGTTTTCAACCCAGGTCTATCTGATTCTGAAGCCTATGTCTTTCCCATTTTACTGTTTATCACGTCTGAAATATGTGTATATTATTCAGATATGATTTTTAATATCTGGTGTTCTGATGAGATGATAAGATGGTCAGAAATTAAAATTGAGTTTTGTCTTTGTAGAGAGATTTGGGCTTCCAGTAAAAGTCTTAAAAGCTTTTTTTTTTTCTAATTGGCCTACTTCAGTTTACTCAGTGTTTCTCTAATAGATGTGAAAATTCCCTAAAAGCTAAAGAGACTGTTTCTATCTGACACTGTGACACGATCTTATGTAAACATGTAGATATACATTTGGTCTGAGATGGTGAGGAATGTAACTTCTTTAAACCTGTTCTGCTCAAATGTGACTTGAAATGGGTTGTCACAAAATAAGGCTTATAAGAGTATTTCAATGTTCACTGATCATTAATGATTTGGCTGTTAAAGTGAGTAGCTCCTAGTGGGAAAGATTGTCTTACAGAATTAAACTTATTGACCACATAAACAGGAAAGAGAACCCTACCCCAGTTCCCTGTTTGGCCAGAAAAAAAGAAAACAAAGGAATAGATTGGGTTGGCATTTGCTAAGATTAGCAAGGTCTCTTTGGGCTAAATTGTATTCTCTCTAAATTTGTACGTTGAAGCCCTAACTCTCCAGTACCTCATAATGTGACTGTATTGGAGATAGGGCCTTTAACTTAACTCAGTTCAAGGTTAAGTGAGGTCATATGGGTGGGCCCTAATCCAATCTGAATGGAGTCTTTATAAAAGAGGGAGAGACTCCCACGGATCCTCGTCCACAGAGGAAAGTCTGTCTGCAAGCCAAGGAGAAACCAGCCCTGCTGACACCTTGGTCTTGGACTTCCAGTCTGCAGAACTGTGAGAAAATAAATTTGTTGTTTAAGCCACCCAGACTGTGGCACTTAGTTATGGCAGCCCTAGCAAACAAATACAAGAGGAATTAGGTATTCGGCATGAGCTGACCCCCTCCCCGCCCCTCATGCCAAGACAGCCAGTTAAGAGAGATATCAGTAGAACATAGATGAGCTTTTATTATCCAGCAAAGATGGTTTACACTGAGACTGAGGATCAGCTAGGGGAAAGGTTTTCCTGAGAGCAGAAGAAAAGTGAGTATCAAATAGTGATTTTTTAATAATCAAACTACTGACAGCTATCAGGGAGGTGTGTGTGTTTCTCTCCTTTTTGCTATATAATATACCTTATAATAATAATATTCTTGCGATTATTTATCCAGTGATTGCTCATTTCTTCCCTTAGTTAACAGCTAACAATTTATGAAAGGATTTTATTGGCTAGAGCACTGGCTAACAGTGTGCTCTAGTCAATAAAACTGGGTTTCTGCTGTTTCATCTGGGCTTGAATCTTGTCCCAGCCACTTCCTAGCTGTGTGATTTTGGGCAAATTATTTACCCTCCTGTGCCTCAGTTTCTTTATCAGTAAAATAGAGGTAATAGTACCTTCTCCGTAGGGTTGTGTGAGAATTAAACAAATTAACATATGTAAAAACATATGTAAAGTGCTTGGAAGGATGCCTGCCATATAGTAAGTACCTAATAAATGTTAGCAATTATTATTTTAACTTGGGCTTTTTCTCTGCATATGAATAACTGTTAGCACATGGTTTCACCAAGATATCTGGCCACCAGGTGCCAGCCCCCCTGAAATTACCAGCATAGTATTAAAGATGAATGAACAGCCTAAAGAACAGTAGCTACTAAATCTCAGTGTTTAGCATTATCTAGGAGGCTGACAAAACTACAGATTCCTGGACCCTGTCCCCAGCAATTCTGATTCACTAAGTTGGGATGGAGCCCCAGAAATCTGTCTTTTTAATAGGCGCCTTAGGTAATTCTAACACGTGGTTGCCAGAATACCTATTAAATACTAATCCAAAGGAATTTCTTCTATATTCAAAGCTATTAAATTATGGTAAATGTCATAACTTACTAATCATGAATCTATAATAATTTTCATTTAAACTATTTGAAATGTTTAAATAAAGCCAACTTAGGTCAATAACGCATATATAAATTTTTTAAAAATTTTATTTATTTATATTTATTTATTATTATTTTTGGCTGTGTTGGATCTTCACTGCTGTGCACGGCTTTCTCTAGTTGCAGCGAGCGTGGGCTTCTCATTGCTGTGGCTTCTCTCGTTGCGGAGCACGGGCTCTAGAGCACACGGGCTTCAGTAGATGTGGCGCATGGGCTCTAGAGTGCAGGCTCAGTAGTTGTGGCTCACAGGCTTAGTTGCTCCCGCACATGTGGGATCGTCCCGGACCAGGGCTCGAACCCGTGTCCCTTGCATTGGCAGGCAGATTCTTAACCACTGTGCCACCAGGGAAGCCCAGTAACGCATATATAAACTTGCTTTTAAAAATCATCTGAATGATAATTTCCATGAGTGTTAATACAAGCTATTAATAAACTCGAAGAAATTCTGTATTGGATGTAGCCCTCAGTTTCTCTCAAGTTGAGTCCTTCAAAGTGAGGGCAAATTGTCCATTATGCCCTTGAGTGTTGTGGCCTGGCTGAGTGAATTGAATTGAGGACAGATGGAGAAAGAGATACGGAAGCAGCTTACAGAGAGAAGCACAGAGGACCGTGGCTCATTCATTTGGAGGAAATAGTCCATTCAGCCAGAAAGTAGCAGGCTAGCTATGCAAATTAGTTAGAAAGTCTTGCATGTACATGTTGATAGCTGTGAGAGATTTTCTTTTTAGGGGGTTAGGACCCTGGAGCTAAAGAAGTTCTGGGTTCTATAGGATGGCTGGAGAAAGCCTAGTCCTAAACTGAAACTGCGTGTTCAACCTGGAGCTTGACAAGACACCGTAGTGTTTTCTAGGTTCAGAATAAAAGGTGATTAAGGTTGAGTGCTGGGATAACTTTGGAACTGAAAAATCTGATTTACTGTGTTATGATGAATTCTTAAAATCTGTGCACCTGTTAATTACAGGACTAAAGTTTAGAGCTGCTATTTTTTCCCCCATTGGTCAAGTTGCTGTGCTCAGGTGAAGTGAGAATGGTCATTATTGAGGAAATAAAGGTCAGGTTCAAAGGTGAGAAACTCCAGATCTCTGGGCAGCTGTATAGAAACTTATCAGGACTAAGTTGGTGAGTTTTCCGTGTGAGAAGGGTGGTGGCGGTGCCTGGCGATTGTAGCCTGTGTGAGTAACTCACCTGAGTGTTCTGAGGGCGTCATAGGGAGAGATTCTTGGTTATCCAATGGTGTGGTGGTACGGTGTTTCTTTTACCAAAAAAAAAAAAAAAAAAAAATTTAACAAAGTTGAGTAAAATAGACAATACTGGTATTGTTAATTTAGAAAGTTTTCAAACTGGACTCCTTAAAATCTTCATGGTGCTTTTAAGATAAAAAGCTGCTTAGGTACGGTTAGTTCATTGATTCTTTTTCCTTTACTTACAGTAACCTCATAACATGTACCAAGATATCAAAATAATCAAAGTTATTGAATTTATACACTTGGAGCTTCTGTATTCTACTGATATGTATGTATCCATGTGTGTATACATTATATATAACTTATAATTTAGAGCATGCAGATACCATAAATTGTTTCTAAGTCAAAGTGCCTCAGCTGTATTAATATAACCGTTTTTCTTAATGTTGAGGTTTAAGTCAACCAAAGTGAATTTTTTTAACATATTATTCAATCCTTGGGGGGAAAAGGCATTTAGGTAGGCAGGTGTTTTTGTTTAATTTTTAACTCTATCATCTCTACGACCTGATATTTGTGTTGTCACTACAGTACCACTTTGTTTGGACAGTTATCTCCAGGAATTGGAATTCTTGTCCTTCGTGCTCAATTGTTCCAAATATAAAATTATATTTTAAAATATAATTTCTTATTAGAAAAGCAGTATATATTTATTGTAGAATATTTGAAAATTATAGAAAAGCATAATGAAAAAAATCCTCCACAATTCTAGTACCTAGTGATAATTACCATTAAACGTCTGTTTATCATTAAAACATCACCTACTAGCCTTTCAAACTCTCTCTATATAAACAGAGTGCATGTGTGTATAAACACAATTTAGGAACATACTATGATACTATATATACATTTAATATTATAACATTAACATATCCCTATTAAATATTCTTCAAAAATATTATTTTAAGAACTACATTGTAGTCTATCTTACATTGCACCAATGTTTAAGATTATTTTTAACTTTTTGCTGCTGTCAATAATACTAATCCTTCTGTGGAAATATTTTAACACAACTGTGACTTAACACAAAATAGGGCCAGACTGGAGTTACTGGCTAAAGGTAATAACATTTCTAAGGATCTTGATACATTTTTCTCAAATTGCCCTGTGGAAACCCACTTGTTTGCACGCCCATTAGCAGAGTATCAGCACCTGTTTCACCACATCTGCAAGAATGAAAATTAACTTTAAAACCAGTTTTGTCCATCTAATAGTGGAGTAGGATGTTTCATTGTTTTTATTCACTTTCCTTTTATTACTATTGAGGTTGGACATATTTTCTTAGGGTGGTTGACCCATAATCTTAAGAAAATAGCATATATTTTTTAAAGCAGACCCGATTAAGACAAAACGGCTATGACAATTCACAATTAACTCCTTTGCATTGACATCTTCATTGTTGTACTAATTCTCAGCCTCCTAGAGTCCATTAAAGGAACTTCTTTTTTTATTTCATTTTATTTTATTTTATAGATCTATTTTATTTATTTATTTATTACATCTTTATTGGAGTATAATTGCTTTACAATGGTGTGTTAGTTTCTGCTTTATAACAAAGTGAATCAGTTATACATATACATATGTTCCCATAAAGAGCATGAGCTTCTGTGTGAGCCCTGCCAGTTAGTCTTGTGTAACCCTAAACAAGTTGCTTAACTTCTCTGAGCTTCAGTTTCCTTGACTGTAAAGCAGGGCTGATAATCCTCACAATAATTCTCACAATACTGAGATAGGAATTATTAAAGCATTCAGTAAAATGCAGCTACTATTGAAACTGAGAAATGTTTCTCTCCTAATTACCTGATAGGTATGTCAAGGTGTGGTAGCATGCCTCTTAGAAGCCAGAACTTTTCAAGTCCCAACAAGTTGCATGTTTGAATTCACTTTATTAGTTAAACTTGCTAGAAGAGCAGCGCAGCTAGTGGGACATTTTTAATAGAAAAAAAAAAAAAGGTGATTGGGGTTGGGAGATCACCTGGATTGCTAGCCCAGTGTGACCCCAGAGTCCTGCAGGACACAAACATGCTTGCTGGTGTGCTTGGTACTTTAGAAAGTTGCCCCCAAACTGATGGGATAAACGGGCTTTCACTTCTTCCTTCTTCCTTTGGGGGAAAGGGTGAAAGAAAGAGCACTACTTTAATAATGTTGTTGCTAAGCTTGTGTGCTCATTCGAAGGTCATTATGTGAACTTGGCTTTTCCTTTAATTTAACATTGTGCTCGTGTATCCACCTGCCTATTGGTCTAGGGTTTTGTAAATATAATGTAGATTCTCATTCAAATTCTTTCACTGAGAATTCAGTTCTTTGCATAATGGATTTGAGACTATAAATCTTTTGATCTTTAAAAATAAGTTTCAATTTTTAGATGATATCTAGTCTTCCACCTGGAGGATGCGACTGTGATCTATAGTAGCTGTTCAGCCATGCTGACCAGTTGACTGCCAGATGGGTTGTTAGCAGTGCCGAGGCACCCTGACATCACTCTCTGAACTGCTTTCTCTTTCACATTCTTGTACTTTTCCAGCTGACGGCCCGGAGGGTGGGTGCCGATTCCACCAGACGCTGCAACTGAAAAGCCAGGTTCAGAAATGTCAGGTATCCTCCGGGAGCTGCTCTGTGTCTCTGAGAAAGCTGCCAACATTGCCCGGGCGTGCAGGCAACAGGAAGCCCTCTTCCAGCTGCTGATAGAAGAAAAGAAAGGGGGAGAAAAGAACAAGAAGTTTGCAGTTGATTTCAAGACCCTGGCTGATGTACTGGTACAGGAAGTTATAAAACAGAATATGGAGAACAAGGTAAGAAGGTCCCAGCCAATGTAATTGCAAAATATTTGCCCCTGTGGTTTTTCCCCTCTATAGAATAGCATCCTTTCTCCTCGCCACCCCTACCCCCATTATTAACACCTTGGATTCTAATAAACAACTTGGGTTTTTCCCCTTGTTTTGACTACAATATTACCAAAATGTGTGCTGCAGAAAGAAATTTTAAATACAGAAAAATAAGAATCCTCTTAATCCTACCACTAGAGAAAACCACAGCTGTTTTGCTAAATATTGTTAGAATATTTTCCTTCTGTGTGTGTACATGGCACACACAATTTATTTCAAAAGAAATGAGAACATACTGTTTTATAACTTTTTTTTAACTTGATATATTAAGTCCCACCTTTTGACATAATCACTTATCTAATGGTTGCCTCAGTTATGGGCTCATAGAGTCCTGGAGACTTAAAGTCTCCCTTTATTTGAGTAGGAAAACATTGTTTAAACTAACAATGATTGTAATTCTAGGTCTTTTAAGGTGACTGGGGAAAAGAAATTATATTCATAAGTAGTAATAACAAACAATAACATTAGCAGATACTTATAAATGCTTACTATGAGCCAGGTACTGTTCTAAGGGCTTTAAATATATTAATTTAATCATAACAATTTTATGAGGTAAGAACAATTACTTCATTGTAATGGATGAGAAAAGGGAGACACAGAGAGGTTAAATAACTTGCCTAAGGTTGCACAGCAAGTGAATGGCAGGGCTGGTTTTTGAACCCAGGCTGACCGAGTCTGTGCTCTTTGCAATACTATATTGCCTTTTATATGGTAATCTAATAATTTCTTTTCTTTTAGGTTTGAGAGCATAGAATTTTATGTCGGAAAGCCCTACAAAATATTAGAATCGTTTCTATGAAATTCTCAAAATATTAGGAATCATTTAGAATCATTTAAGTGAATTCTTGACCACAGGCAGGAAGAGAGAATAAATGGCCCCTTGAAATATCTACAAACTGTACTTTTTCATGTCTTATAATATCTGGCTCCAATAAACTAAAAGGAAGCAAATTTGTTTTTGTTACTGATCAAGAGCTGGGTGGAAGGGATGGTTGAGCAACTGGATTAGAAATGTATCAACGTTAAGTTCTGTGGGCTAATATTTGCCCTAGAGCATTATAACAAGTTCAGGCAGTTGTTCATTCATGAAGTATATGCCAGGACTTATGAACACATAAATGATATTCACTTTTGGCTTGTATAAAATAGTTTCATGACTCTCCTATACTGTAGCCTCAGAAAGGGTTTCTAGGCAGGTTGTGGGAGACTGGAGCTTCAGCCCTGGATGAATTGATGAATCGGCTCAGTGCCAGCCCGTGTTGATTTGCATTGTTCTTTTTTTTTTTTAGTTTAATTTAATTTATTTATTTTTGGCCGCGTTGGGTCTTCGTTGCTGTGCACGGGCTTTTCTCTAGTTGCGGTGAGCGGGGTCTACTCTTCATTGCAGTGCGTGGGCTTCTCATTGCAGTGGCTTCTCTTGTTGCGGAGCACGGGCTCTAGGCTCGCGGGCTTCAGTAGTTGTGGCACGTGGGCTCTATCTAGAGTGCAGGCTCAGTAGTTGTGGCACACGGGCTTCGTTGCTCCAAGGCATGTGGGATCTTCCCAGACCAGGGCTTGAACCCATGTCCCCTGCACTGGCAGGCAGATTCTTAACCACTGCGCCACCAGGGAAGTCCCGACTTGCATTGTTCTTTAAAAGAGTTAAAAATAACAAGTAGTTGTGGGCATTATTAAAGCTACTGGCCATCTGTGAATAACTGAGCTCAAATATTTGAAGCATTTCCTTGCTTTTATTGCTTGAGAACCATACTCATATCATAATTCAGCACATATTTTGAGAGAAATTATCTTTACTGCAGAGAAAATCAGAAGCAAAATGTGTCTGAAAGCTTCCTGGTCATACAGAGATGAGAGAAAATTCCTATTTAGCTTTTTTTTTTTTTAATTCTATATTGGCACATAAATTGTTGGCAAATAAAATATTTCCCCTTTTTTGCTATATCACCTTCCTAGCCTGATGGCTAATGATACCTCCAACAGGTCCAGAAAACACACCTGAAAATGAAAACAAAATCAAATGTTATCCTCTGATACCTTCTATCCAGTCTCAAGTAATCATCTCAGGTACTTGGTCAATAACATTAACTTGTATAAGCTACTTAGGTCCTGTTGAGGAGCAACAGTTAAAACATCTCCTTTGTAAACATTCTAGCTCTATGGCCCTTAACTAGAAGGATGAAGTTTCTAGAAGTACTTCTGCAGACTCAACAGAACATAAGGAAACCAGACTTCTACCATGATTTGGACTTTCTAAAGGGGCAAAAGAGCAGGAAAATATTAGAAAACTAAGTACTGAACCAAGCTGACTTCACTTTTCATACTTGTTATACTTGGATTGATTTCTGGAATTGTAAATTTCAGATCTAATTGTGCTATTTAATTTGAAGTATAAAATGAAAATCTGTTCAGAATTGAACATAAATGTGGGATTTTTTTTTTTTCTTTATTGTTGTATTTTTGTCATACTCTGAATCATTCAGTTTCCAGGCTTGGGGAAAAAAATTTTTGGAGAAGAATCCAATGAGTTTACAAATGATTTGGGTAAGTATAAATGTCTTAATGTATTTTTATAATTTAATTATCATATGGTATTTTTATTTTCAACTTACATCATGAAGTAAATGGATGTTTGGAGGCCTTTCACGTAAATACATATTTGAATGTTAAGCTTCATTCAGTACTTCAGAATATCATGCCATTTACGATAGGGAGATGTGGCATCTTAGGATTATTTAGCAAGTCCACATGTATTATTCTAGATATAAATCTGTAGCATTTGAATAACGTATGATTTAACCTTTGGGAAAGTTGCCTGGCCCTTTGGGAATCTGATGGAAGTTATAGATGCCCCCAGAAAGATGCACACCTACACAGTTTTGCAGGCAATTTCAAGTACAAGTAAACCCATTTGTGGACCTCCTAGGGAGTCCATAGACCTTGGCTGAGAATGTAGAGGAGGCCCTGTCCCTGAAATCACCTCATGGCTTCTCTGGTCTCAGAACCTCTGTAAAGGGAGTTGGACAACCAAAAAGGTTCCTTTTACCACCAAGTTTTAACTCTTATTTAATTAGTTTCCTGTGGACCAAATTCTCGTTTGATGGACCACCAGTTCCCTTGTGATAGAGAGGAAACTATCAAAATCGCTGATCCTTTTTAGAGAAACAAACTGTTTTTAGTTGTCTGGGTTTTTGTTTGTTTAATGGTAGAAGATTAAAATAGTGAACTTTAAACACTGATCATGTGACAAATAGTTAAACATCTAGAGGCATGTTTACAAAGAAAACGAATTTCTGGATTAACTCTGGAGAAAAATTTGTCTTCTTCATGGGCAGTGTATTAAAATGCACTTAATTCTATGACACTCAGTAAGAAGAAAGAAAAATCTCATTTAAACTTAAGATTAAAAAAGCCACCTGTACAGGAATAAAGACGCAGTTGTAGAGAATGGACTTGAGGACATGGAGAGGGGGAAGGGTAAGCTGGGATGAAGTGAGAGAGTAGCATGGACATATATACACTACCAAATGTAAAATAGATAGCTAGTGGGAAGCAGCCGCATAGCACAGGGAGATCAGCTCCGTGCTTTGTGACCACCTAGAGGGGTGGGATAGGGAGGGTGGGAGGGAGACGCAAGAGGGAGGAGATATGGGGATATATGTATACACATAGCTGATTCACTTTGTTATACAGCAGAAATTAACACACCATTGTAAAGCAATCATACTCCAATAAGGATGTTAAAAAAAAACACCGGTGACTAACCAGTAAGAAATCCTACACTTAAAATCCTGTTTGACTACTTCATAAACAGTTATTTTAGTATTTCATTTATGTATCTAGAATTATAGGAGCAAAAAGGCATTCCACGTACATTTTCCTTAGAACTGAAGTAGAGAATGGGTTTAACAGAGAACCATGGTGAAGGGGAGGGGCTGGTGGATGAGGTGAGGTGAGACAGTGGAAGTTCAAAGGAAGGAGTTTGGATTTTCCTCTAAGCATGATCGGTATTCAGTGGCAAATTTTAAGCAAAGGAGAAATGTGATATGATTTGCTCCCTTGAATGATCCCATGACTTTTACTGAGTCTAGTGTAGGTGCTCAGCAGGTGGCGGTGATTAGCATTATTATTCCCCAACTTCAACAGTCTCATTTAATTGAATTGAACTACATGTAATTGACTGTTTCTTGCTGTTTCAGCATCATCATTGTAATAGACTCACACTGTGCTTCCCAAACTCTAAGGATCACATGAATCACCTGGGGATCTTGTTAGAACTCAGTAGGTCCGGGATGGGGACTGCGGTTCTGAATTTCTAACAAGTTCTCAGGTGATGCAAATGCCGCTTGCTGTTCTTGGAATGGCTAGGTTAGCTAGGAGTATTTGTCTATATACCACAAAATCTCCAAAGTGCCATGTTTTCTTAAGTTTTAAAAAATTTATAGTCTGCATTGCTGTGACTTTCTGTTGCTATTAACTTGCCTGTTTTTGCCAGCCTCTTTTCTTACTTTTGCGGGGGCTGGAAACCAGATTAGGCAAGGGTCTAAGAAGTGTCTTTGAAGTGATGGTAAAGCACCTGGACTCGGTAACTTGGGATTTCAGTTGCAGAAACAGCTTTGCTTACATGCTGATTTCCAGTGGTTTCACAGAGAGCTATTCTATGTATGTCATTTAGAGTCCTACAGCTTTACCACATTTAAAGATTAATGTACTTCATCTTATGTTACTTTACTGAGCATAAACAATTTAGGGAGGTAGAAGCCCTTCTTTGTACTGATAAGAACTCCATTCTTTTCAATAACATATTCAAATGTGAATAGGGTGACCCACAGTATATTAAAAGGCAAAAAATATAAAAGATTGGTTATCAAGGACTCAGGGTTCTTAACTGGTCCATGAGCTCCCTTAAACTAGATACAAAAAACTGTGTGCACGTGCCCATGTGGACATTTTTCTGGAGAGTAGGTCCTTTGACACCTGGAATTCATTCCTCACTGTTAGGTGCATGACTGACCACTGAGCAGCTATGACTTTATGAAGGCCACTGGGTGATTCTGGCAATCAGCCAGGTTAGGAAACACTGGTATGGCTATATTTCCCTCACCTAGTCTGAGGTGCCCTCACAGCTTTTGTTTCTTCCCACCCCTCTGTTGTTCTTTCTCCCCTGAAACTTGAGATGTAATGGTCTTTAGTTTGTCTTTACTCTAGGGGAAAAGATTATCATGAGACTGTGTCCAACAGAGGAAGAAACAGTAGATCTTCTCAACAAAGTCCTTAATGGTAACAAGTTGGCATCTGAAGCGTTAGCCAAGGTTGTACATCAGGACGTTGTCTTTAGTGACCCAGCTCTGGATGCGATAGAGATCAACATTCCACAGGACACTTTGGGAGTCTGGGTGGATCCTATAGGTAAGTAAAGAGAGTGTTTGCTTTTGTTTATTTGCTTTCATTAATAATCCCTTTTTTTTTTTTTGGTGGGGGGTTAGAAAAATAAAAATTGAGGGTATGGTTTAACTCTCCTAGGAGTTTTATTTTTAAAATGATAAATGACTTTCACTGCCGTGGCCCGGGATCAATCCCTGGTCAGGGAACTGAGATCCCACAAGCCGTGCGGTGCAGCCAGAAAAAAAGAAACGAAGAGCTGAGGTGTGTGTTATATACATATATCTATCACATGTATCTATAACATATGTGTGTGTGTACACACATACCCACACACACACACAGGCACATATACAAAGCTGAATTAACTCATTTTTGAAAGACCTCAGGGGCCAGACTGCTAAATATGAGAGAAGAATGAAGTGATAGCAGCTATAACTAACTGAGCACACATGCCATTTTAAGAACATTCAGCACCAGCGGATTATTGCCATCTGGGAATACTGTCCAGCTCATCAAATTTTTAAAAAAAAATAAAAATCCAGGTTTTTATGTGAGATCTCACAATTTAACCACTGGCTACTAATTCAGTTAAACAAGCAAACAATCAAAACCACTATACAGGCCAAGCAAAACACAGCTGAATGTGACTCTTAGCAGTCGGTTTGTGAGTCCTGTGTAAACCTCACCATGAATTTTGTGGTCATGATTATGGTAGAACCATAACATATAGCTCATTGTTTAAAAAGTGTAGGCCTCTCTCAATGATGCTATTAATATAATGCCCTAGGTATTAATCTTCGAAAGTCCCCCTTTTTCCCCTAACCTTCCTGGCATATTCTACCCAGTACAACTGTGACCAATCACACTGAACAGGCAAACTCCCCCCACCCTCCCCATCCTACAAGCGCATTAATAATGATAGAAATGCCTTCAGTCATCAGAGAATTAGAGAATATTCAGCCTATGGATTGTATATGCAAACTAAGAATGTTTTCCAGAATCTTTTATTGCTTGAAGGTAAATCAGCCTCAGTTAAGGTTTTTGAGGGACAGAAACCTTGTATTCTTGTTCTATCCTGAATTGATTCTGTTAGCTAGCTCTCTGGATCTTGTGCCTGACACATCCTTAACTGGGCATTAACTCATTAGATGTTGGCAGTCAGCTGCTGGCATGTACAGTCTTATAAGAAGAAACCTAGCTACTTGGCTTCTTTTTCTCAGGACTCCCGTCAATTTCTTCCTCTTGTACTACCATCATTGTCTCCTTCCTCCTAATTTGAGGGACAAAAACAAACAAACAAAAAGGTAATTCCACCCCGACAGATTCCTGGATGGAGGCTTTCCCATCCACCTTGGGCTTGTCCTCTGATTAGTAAGAGCTCTAAGGAAGCCCCTTGGTTATCCTGAGCTATTACCTTTGAAATGATTTTGACATGTGATGGATATTTGAGTGCTTGTTATTTGCAAGGTGCAGTGCTAGCTGCCATAGGAACTATAGACGTGTCCTTTCTCTCCAAGACTATATAGTTGGGAAAATGAAACACAAGCAGCTTAAAAGTGAAGTACAAGAGGTCGAAAAATAATTCGATATAAGTGGCACCCAAAGGTAAAAACTGATTGGTTACTATCTTCGTCAGTTTGGGCTGCTATAACAGGATGCCATGGACTAGGTAGCTTTTAAACAACAGAAATTTGTTTCTCACAGTTCCAGAGGCTGGGAAGTCCAATCTCAAGGTGCCAGCATGATTAGGTGAGGTCCTTCTTCCTGATTCATAACTGGTACCTTTTCACTGTGTCCTCACATTCTGGAAGAGACTAAAGATCTCTCTGTAGCCTCTTTTGTAAGACACTAATTCCATTCATGAGGGTTCCACACTGAGGACTTAAGTACCTTCCAAAGGCCCCACTTACTAATACCATCAACTTTTGTGGGTAAGAATTTTGGGGGGACATAAACATTCAGACCATAGCAGTTACCAAATTAGAAGAGAGAAACAATATAGTACAGGGTTTGTAGATGTATTCATCATCGTCTTCTAAATAATCATTTCAAATAATCCTAACAAATTTGCTTCATTTTTCAGATTCAACTTATCAGTATATAAAAGGTTCTGCTGACATTAAATCCAACCAAGGAATCTTCCCCAGTGGACTTCAGTGTGTCACTATTTTAATTGGTGTCTATGACATACAGACAGGGGTGCCCCTGATGGGAGTCATCAACCAACCTTTTGTATCACAAGACCTAAACACCCTCAGGTAAAAGATGAAAATTTTTGGTATATTATGGTTTTTAGAATTTACAACCTCAGCTTTGCTTATTGTCAAGATGATCTCTCCGCGTGACATTCCCATGACTCAGTAGATTTGGTATTCCTACTAAAAATCTGCATGTTTGAATTAACGTTCTTTTTACTCTCAGCCCTGGGTCTCGCAGCAAAATGTGACAATGATCTAATGAAAAGCTGAGTAGGTACAGCCAGGGTTAGGACCTGGCTCTGGGGTGCTCTCCCGGTAGAACTGCCAGCATCACTTCCTTTTCTGCCTCCCTCCTCAGGCTCCCCTGAACTCCTGTGCAGGGCAGAGTTGCTCTGATCCATGGCCCATGCTTGCAGGGCTCCAGGGCATGGCAGAGGCCAAGAAGAAGCAGCTTTTCTCTTGTGATTTCAGTATTTTATTGAAATAGATAATATTTTTTTCCCCTTGTATAGAACTGCATATTTTTTTATAAATTTATTTGTTTTTTATTATTATTTTTTGGCTGCGTTGGGTCTTCGTTGCTGCGCGCAGGCTTTCTCTGGTTGCAGTGAGCGGGCCTCTCATTGCGGTGGCTTCTCTTGTTGCGGAGCATGGGCTCTAGGCGCGCAGGCTCTAGGTGCGCAGGCTTCGGTAGTTGCAGCACGCAGGCCCAGTAGTTGTGGCACGTGGGCTCAGTAGTTGTGGTACGCAGGCTCAGTAGTTGTGGCGCACAGGCTTAGTTGCTCCGTGGCATGTGGGATCTTCCTGGACCAGGGTTCAAACCCGTGTCCCCTGCACTGGCAGGCGGATTCTTAACCACTGCGCCACCAGGGAAGTCTCAGAACTACATATTTGCATTAAACTTTGACTTGCTTCAAGCAACTAAGAATTGTTTGTTCTTTAATAGTCATAAACTACACCTATGGAATTTTGATAGTTTTCTTCTAACCCTGCCTTCTTCCAAACTGAAAGTGTTTGTTGTCTTTAAAGGGTCGTTAAGAAGTTAAAAATAAGTGGGACTGGATGCTGCCATAATCATGACCTAGAAATGGTTGACAAAGTAGTTAGTAGCATAGATCCTAGAGTGAGACTTCCTGGGTTTGAATGCAGATTCTATCACTGATTTACATTCTTACACTTACATTCTCTAAGCCTGTTTCCATCGCTGTAAATAAACTATCCAGCATATATAGTAAGTTAAACATTGAGAAATGATAGGTGCTATTTTTGTTGTTGCCAAAAATAATGAGTGCATCTTTCTTGGTGTTAAAACCGAAGTGGAGCTAGTGAATTAGAGAATGAAAAGGCGTTACCAACTGAAGAAAAACTTAAGGATTGTGAAAGATTTGCAGATTGAAAAGATTATTTATCTGTTCATCTTTCCCCCTATTAAACTTCAAATGCCAAAAGTGGCAGTGAAACTTTGCAGGATTTCTGGCCTCCAGGAACAAAGCAAATATTTTAACATTGTCCTAGATGGGTGTGATGATACGGAAAAACTGAAAGCCTTCCTAACCTGCAACAGCACAGGCAGCAACACGCACAGGGAGTAACTTTTTTTTTTTTTTGCGGTACGCGGGCCTCTCACTGTTGTGGCCTCTCCCGTTGCGGAGCACAGGCTCCGGACGCGCAGGCTCAGTGGCCATGGCTCATGGGCCCAGCCGCTCTGCGGCATGTGGGATCTTCCTGGACCAGGGCACGAACCCATGTCCCCTGCATTGGCAGGCGGACTCTCAACCACCGCGCCACCAGGGAAGCCCGGGAATAAGTTTTAGAAATGAATTAGCTACTTGGTATCCATTTCTAAGCTTAAGGACCTTGAGACCCATTATGTTATATATTTTTCATATCATCAAGTTGGGAAGCCATATGAGCAATGAAAAACGAATGGGATAACCTACGGCCACAAACTGAATGTTGTCTTCCACAGGTGGAAAGGACAGTGCTACTGGGGCCTTTCTTACATGGGGACCAATATCCATTCATTTCTGCCTCCCGTCTCTACAAGAAACAGCAGTGAAACGCAGAGCCAAGTGACCCAAAACCCCAGCTCTGAGGCGGAATACTCCCACCCGTTCTCAGCTGTCATTAGTACCAGTGAAAAGGAGACCATCAAGGCCGCACTGTCATGTGTGTGTGGAGAGCGCATATTCCGGGCAGCTGGGGCTGGTTACAAGAGCCTCTGTGTTGTCCTCGGCCTTGTGGACATTTACATCTTCTCAGAAGATACCACGTTCAAGTGGGACTCTTGTGCTGCCCACGCCATCCTCAGGGCCATGGGTGGGGGAATGGTGGACTTAAAGGAGTGCTTGGAAAGAAACCCCAACTCGGGGCTTGACTTGCCACAGTTGGTGTACCACGTGGGAAACAGAGGCGCTGCTGGAGTGGACCAGTGGGCCAACAAGGGAGGACTGATCGCTTACAGATCAAAGAAGCAGCTGGAGACATTCCTGAGCCTCCTCCTCCGACACCTTGCGCCTGTGGATGCACATACATAGACGAGCTCCATCCTCAGGGACTCGAAACCCAGCTGTGAACCTAGTTTCCACCCCTCTGTCTTTTGAAGACAGCTTTGTCCTGTCGACAGTCAAAGTTCACCTTCCTCTTTTGAGGAGCATTTTTCCATTATGTGTTCATAATGTTAATGTCAATAAATGACTGATATTCATGCCACAGTTAAATGTGTGAGATTCTTAATAGTGGACTTTGTGCTATTAATGTTGCTTGAAACACTTCAATAAAATATTGAAGACAGGAAAAATTCCTGCTCAATTAGTAAACCTCTTCTAAACATCTAAGGGTTAAGTTAATGCCACTGAAGTATTAGGGAGAGCCAAGAGGGGGTTGAGCTTAGTTTTGTTTCCCTTCTGGAGGAAAACTCTGCAGCTTTAGCCTTTGGCAAAACGTTTAGAACTGTGAATTTAGCCATGTTCTGTACTTTCAACAGTATTATGTTTCTTAGAAGAATTAAAGCCTGGAGCACTGTGGGCTTCTTCCTACTCACATACCCTCTCATACTCACACACACATTCTAATATTCTCTCTCAAATGCATAATCTCATGGGCCCTCTCATTCAAGTTCTCTCTAATCCTGTCTCTAATAATTCTCTCTAATACTCTCACATACACACTCCATTTCTGTTGGTAAGACAGAAGGGGATAGGGTGAAGAGGTTTCTTTAATTTTTGCATATTTACTGCACTTCAAAAACCAGAGGTAGAGTTAAATACAGTCCTTGGACTACTAGAATCCCATGTTGAAAGTCGTCTGAGGTGGGTGGGACCACTTTTCCCATCCTGTTTAGCAGCCCTGGTGAGGAGGTAGCGCCACCATCTGGAGGGATTAAACTCTCACCTCTGACTTCTTTCGGCCTTGCGCCCTCTGGGGGCCAAAGGATATGTTCTGGAGCATCCTGTTTTTCTACAATTACAAACAAATGAAAGTAAATCAAACTCTTTGTAATCGTATTTCATTGCACACAGCAGAGTCAATGACTTATTTAGTGACAGGGTTATAGTTTTTAAAGTCCGCACGTGCTTTGTGATTGTGGGTCCTCAAGCAGTTTATTCTTAACCACTAACAGTCTAATTTTAAAGGTTGATTTTTAAGTCAAAGTGAGTTCATTCTTCACAAAACACATTAAAAACCAAAACCCAGAAACTCGTCCTGCTGCATGATAGTCATCAGAATGGAGAAATAGAATATGGTTCAAGAAAAAGCATTTGTTGTCCACATAAACATTTTTAGAATGTAACTGATCAATAACATGCAGTGAAAAGTCATCTTCAATGTGATCTGAACAAGAAGTTTGTCAATTTATTGGGGGGGAAATTGGATAGAACAGGGAATCCAGTATATTCTGTGAACATCTATTATACACATCCATTGTCAATCTTGGCCGGAAAGCTAAGGCCCTTCCTTAAGCATGTGTGTGCTGATTGGTCTGCACTGTTTTTCTTGCATAAACCACACCCATGGGAGTATGAACTCTGTTTCTGATTTCTTTAGAGGAAGAATTTTTAAATATTTGCCATGTAATCTGAGAACATAATCGTTCTGGATTTAAATTTTTTCTCTCCATTTTTACAATTGTCTCATACTCGGTAAATTTTTAAGACTCGTCGTTATTTTCTGAAGTCTTCAATTCTCTGTTTTAAAACTCATTTTACATTGTATTTAATCTATTATTAAAAGTACAATTGGAATATACAGTTTTACAAAGAAGCCAACCACTCCAAGTAAACATACACCTCAGTTGATGGGAATGGGAGTTGGGGATTGTGATGGAAGGGTGTTCCAGAGAGTAGCCTGTTGGTCATGAAGATCAAGTGTCTTGTGCATCAGCCAGTGTGTTTTGCAGGAGACTGGCAGAGAGGTGAATCTGCCAGGTCGCTTACATGGAAGGTGATAAAGAGAGAGCTCCCCCTGCACGTCAATAAGAGCAGTCTCTGGGAAGCCAAGTCAACCTTTGTTCCTCTCTTGCTCCTCCAATCCACATCCAATCATTAAGGAAGCCCTCTTGGCTCCACCTTTGAAATATATCCAATATTCAACCATTCCTCATCACTCTGCTACCCTTACCCTGTGTCAAGCCCTCTTTATGTCTCACCTGGATTACTGCAATAAACTAACTTGCCTCCATACCATCTATTCATAACACAGAAGCCAGAGTGATTCATTTCCAACATCTATCAGATCATGTCTCTGTTCAAAACCCTCCAATGTGTAAAGCAGTTATACTCCAATAAAGATGTTAAAATAGTTTTTCTTTTTGTTAACATTTTTATTGGAGTAAAACTGCTTTACAATGGTGTGTTAGTTTCTGCTGTGTAACAAAGTGAACCAGCTATACATAAACATATATCCCCATATCTCCTCCCTCTTGCGTCTCCCTCCCACCCTCCCTATCCCACCCCTCTAGGTGGACACAAAGCACCAAGCTGATCTCCCTTTGCTTTGTGGCTGCTTCCCACTAGCTATCTATTTTACATTTGGTAGTGTATATATGTCCATGACACTCTCTCACTTCATCCCAGCTTACCCTTCCCCTTCCCCGGCATACTCTGTATGCTAGCCACATGCTTCCACTTACCGTCACCTCAGTCTCAATCCAACTGTTCCTAAGGATTGGCACCCATGTTGAGTAGTGTCCTAACGATCATTGTCTTTTAATGCCCTTTGTTTGTTGCCAATCTTTTGCCCTGGCTTCTGACCCCCTAGTTATAGGCTCCCTGCATGAGATTTTGACGTGCCAAGGGATAAGTATTCTATAAAGGGCTTTCTGCTATGTTATAATGATGGGAGTATAAAAAAACAGAACTTTGCACCTGTGTGTAAATTCCATAAGATAGCCCTTCTGTCTGGAAGAAGTGCAGCCAGGATAACTTTGCAGTAATATTTTGTATCAGTAACATTAGGTTTAACCGTGAGTGGCAAAATGCCAAAATAACAATGGCTTAAATAAGATAAAAGCTGTTTGGTGTGCAGTCCAGAGCTGAAAGGAGGCTTGACCCCTAAGTCCTCAAGGAGTCACACTCCCTCCATCTCGCTGCTTCCCCAGCTCCAGACCACGGCCCTTCTTCTCAGGTCTAAGACGACAGGATCTGCATTTTAGGCAGCAAGATAGAGGAGAAGACGAAGAAGAAGGGAAGGGTAGGTGATTTTTCACATCATTGACTAGAACCTAGTCACATGACTACATGTATAGTTTCCATCTTGGGCAACCGTGTACGCAGCTGAAGAACAGGCATTTTATCACACTGGAAGATGGGAAACAGGTATTAGAGGGTATCTAGCAATCTCTATCGCCCAGTCCAAATGAGCTGTCCAGGCTTCTGCCTTCATCTGACCTCTGATCACACATCACTCGTTCTATTTACTAAGGTCTCATGACATTTATAGCCAGATTTTTCCAACCCTTAGCTACACTCACTTACCTACTTAGGATGTACTTATCCACTTCATCCTCCAAAGAATGAAAAGTGCCATAAATACATACATTCATCAAGATGATAAAGAAAGGGAACTTCCTGCCAGTAAAAGCACGGATGAAAATATAAGACAAACATAAACAGTTATTCTTGTCTTAAGACCTGTGAGAAATCTCTGGGATTCTTGATCCTGGCACTTTGCCTAGAAGCCTACTGCCCCCTCTTATCAGACCACACCTTCTGCCTCTGTTGAGTGCTCAGCATGCAGACAAGCTTTGTCAGGTCTCTGCTTTCAACTTTCAATACGTTGCTTAGCCATCCACTGAAAGAGTCTGCTCGGCCCAGTACACAGCAGCTGCTCGTAACCCCTCGTCCTGCATCCACAGCCCAGAGCATGTTACTGTCATCAGCCTTAAACACAGCTACCGGACAAAAACAGCCCTGCCCACTCCACACATTTGCACACATCTGCTGTTTTCCCAAAAGGGGGAAAAAGCAAACAAAATTTTCCAACAGTTTCCTTCTTGTCCCCCAGTCTTGTTTTTGTTCTTATTTTTTCTGTAAGTGCTAAATGCAAAGACAGAGTAGAAACAGTAAGTTATAACCTTTCACATCCATAGTTAACACTTTAATTGTACCTGGCTTGGTGCTTAGGTTGTAACACACATTCATAAAGCAAGCCTAAAGAACTGTGAATGTCCCCTCCGTGGCAGGGGACTCAATTAAAACCTGGTATGTATGCAAAAAGATCTTTGAAACTCAACCAGGGGAAGTAGCTGTTTTTAGCATTGACATCTTTCTTAAAATGTTTTATATTCTGACTCTGTACAAAATGCCTGCAATTCTAAATATGATCTTTCTTTTCTAAGCTGTATTTTCAATGCTCCTGATCCTGAAGGAGCCACGATCATATAGGATTAAGAGCTTCCTCTCTTCACCTATTAAAAAGAAAAAGAGGAAAGAACCATTCTTAGGCTGGCTGCATGGGCTTGTGACTGCTGCAGGTGCGGAAGGCTTCTCACTCAGAAGGGCACCATGCTGGGTTCTGCTATTGCCATCTTGAAATTCTCAAAAATTTTATCTTTGAACTTGTAAGTTAAGTTGAAAGGAGAGTGAAGCACACGTGTGAACAGAGGTGCGATGTCCAACATGTATTCACCCTCTTTCCCTGCAGCACCATTCCATTCACATAGTGTTCACAGTGCCCGGTGAGCACAGAATTCCTGTGGACTCATGATTATGGGGGTTCAATGAGACTGAAAGCAAGCACAAGGTAAGTGTATTACATTTATGACTAATTGGGAGGGGGGATGACAGCCCCCAAGAACCAGGATTTCCTTGGAATGCCAAAAGATGACAATGGCATTCTAAGAAACATAAAGGTCCAACGAAATCTATCATACCCTTTCTTATTTGTGTTTGTTTGGTTTTTTTCCTGTATAATTACAGCAAATCACATAGGCTGAAAATGATGGCATGGAAAGAAAGGGAAAGGTAGGGCCACCCATAGTTCCTTCTCTTCCTGTCCTTCCTTGCCAGACAGCTGAAGGTAGAGAGGATTGGCACGATGTGTGCATGTCGAGAAGTGAAATATATAAGTGTTAGCAATACCGTATGCTAACACTTATATATGGAATCTTAAAAAAAAAATTGTTCTGATGAACCTAGGAGCAGGATAGGAATAAAGACGCAGACGTAGAGAATGGACTTGAGGATACGGGGAGGGGGAAGGGTAAGCTGGGACGAAGTGAGAGAGTAGCATTGACATATATACACTGCCAAATGTAAAGTAGATAGCTAGTGGGAAGCAGCTGCATAGCACAGGGAGATCAGCTCGGTGCTTTGCGACCACCTAGAGGGGTGGGATAGGGAGGGTGTAAGGGAGGCTTAAGAGGGAGGTGATATGAAGATATATGTATACACATAGCTGATTCACTTTGTTTTACAGCAGAAATTAACACACCATTGTAAAGCAATTATACTCCAATAAGGATGTTAAAAAAAAACACCTGTGACTAACCTGTAAGAAATCCTACACTTAAAATCCTGTTTGACTACTTCATAAACAGTTATTTTAATATTTCATTTATGTATCTAGAATTATAGGGGCAAAAAGGCATTCCACGTTCATTTTCCTTAGAACTGAAGGAGAGAATGTGTTTAGCAGAGAACCATGGCAAAAGTTGTAAACCATGGCGAACACTGTAAAGCAATTATACTCCAATAAAGATGTTAAAAAAAAAACCCAGTTGAGTTACTTTTGTGCACTCTTTCCACTCTTCTGGGAAGAATAAGATATATATCTGTGTACGAACTATAAAAAATGAATTGTGTAATTTGGTGATTCCACATATGAGTTAAATACTCTTATACTTACACTGAAACCTGGCATTGTACAATATAAATATGAATGGTAAAATTCACAGTAATAATTTAAATTAAAATTTTTTCTTTACCCAGAATGACATTAAATAGCAAATAATATTACAACAGGTCGAGAGAGAGAGATGGTAGAAGGAAGGAACCTCTTTTTACTTTAGTGTCTATAATGGAAGCCTTTCTCCTGTTTTCTGTACAGGGGGCTACATATTTTCATCTTGCCCAGGTGCTACCAGCTATGTAGCCAGCCCTGAACTGGTCCCATTTCTACTCCTAACCTCACTGTCTTTCGTTCTCTCTGGATTTTTGTCATGTTTGCTGGTCAAGGTCAAACCCAGCCCACTGGTGAACTAGGTCTACCCCCATCTGGGAGTTGAAGGGTCTTTCCAGTTCTTTGGAAACTGAGGTGATAAGAGAACCAGAGTGTGTTTTACGTACATTTCTCACCTGCTAAGTAAGCTGGCCTTTTATGCTATAACATTCTAAGCACATTTCAGCATCTTCGAACATTTGCTGTAAACTTCTCAACACTCTCCACCAGGTGGCTCTAGCAGATTTGCGCAGGCACATAGGTAACAGTGAAGGAAAATTGTAGCAAAGTTCTTGTCTTTGCTAACCATTTCCAATGGGTCGCCTTTAAACTACATCATCATGTTTTAAATGTGCCATTTTTCTTAGACAACTCATTCCTTTTACTGTGTTTTAAGTTATCTCCTCATTACGTGCTTCTTAAAGAACTAGAGAATATGAAAAAGTAAAAAGAAGGAAAAAACAACGTCCAGACAAGACTACTGTTGACATCTTAGTCAACTTTCCTAGAGTTGTTTTCCTTCTGTGCATAAAAGAATGGAAACATGAGCCACAGAGTGGGAAAGATATTTGTAATATATATCAAGCAAAGGACCTGTATCCCAAGGACATAAAGGATTCCTATAAATCAGCAAGAAAAAGACAGAAAGCCCAATTAAAAAAATGGCCACAAGACCCTTTACAAAAGAGAGTACTTAAATGGCCAATAAGCATGTGAAAAATTGTAAACATAACTAATCATCAGGAAAATGCATTACAACACCATAGAGCCACTACACGCACCAGAATAACTAAAACTTAATAATCACTGTTAAGTATTAGTGAGAATTTGGAACAACTAAATCTCTTACATATACTCATTGGTGGGAGTATAATTTGTATGACTACTTTAGAAAATATTTGGCAATATTGAATAAAGCTAAACGTATACTTATTCTATGACCCTTTTCTAGGTATATACCCAGCGGAAATGCATGCAAATATACATCAAAAGACATGTGCAAGAATATCTATATCAACAGTATTCATAATAGCCAAGACCTGAAAACTAAGCAAATGTTCAACTACAGTAGAATGAGTAACTATTTTATGGTACAAAGAAATGGAATGAAACAACATGTATTAATCTCACATACATAATGTTGAATGAAAGAAGCAACACCCAAAAAGTATATACTATATGATAACATTTATATAATATTCAAAACCAAGCAGAACTCATGGAATGTGCCACCAAGCTCCCCCTTCAGGAATGGTCTTAGGAAGTGCCTCAGCTGAAGAGGGCTGCCTGGCCTGAGATTATATCTCTGACTATTGGGCTGGGTATAAAGGCCCTCACCCCAATTTGGAAAAACTCTGAAGAGCTATGCCAGCTTCAGAGCTCTCTGTAGAGTTAGCTGAAGACTTTGTTGAGATTGCAATTTAGCCCAACTTCTACCTCTGCCTAATCATGTTTCTTTCCCTCGCCTCCTTTTCCTCTCTACCCCCCCCCCACCCCTTTTCTTCTCTTCCCTCCCACAAGTATTGGTCCCAACTTATGGATATCTCAGAGTCTGCTTCCCTGGGAACCTAATCTTTGAAAAGAGCGTAATAGCTACCTTTGGGAATGTCCTGCATTAGCATAATCCTGCATAAACAGTCCAAACTTATGCTGTTCAAGGGTCAACTGTGACATACAGTCTTGAAATATGCTGTAAATATATTTTCTTCTCTGTTGAGACTGACAGATTCTTAATATCATGGCCTGTTCTTTCTATGATCTGTATCATTCCATTTCAATAAGGACTTTACCAGAACTTTGAGTGCCTAGTAAATATTATTTGAATAATTGCTAAATTATTGATCTTTAATTACTTACATATCATCAATGATAAAAATAATAACCTGGTATTTAAGAATGTAAACATCATCCCTATTTTATTTTGGCAATATTAATTTACTAGAAACTCGACTTTGAATCTAGTTGAGTGAAGATAGATAGAATTATGGTTCTTTTTACATTCTCTGTGTGCTGTGTAATAACATTATAAAAAATAGGTTACATAGAAGAATATTGATATTACAAACAAATTTTCAACAATACCAACACACAGAAAAAGCACAGGGCTTTTGGCTTTAAAGGGAAACGTTTACTGCATACTATTTTAAAAGCAAGAAGAAGATGAAAACACTTGAGATATATAGATTACATGCAATTACAAAAATTTTTAGCTAAAGAGGCCTTAAAGGTAACCAATTCTCAGTTAATTAATTTTATAAAAGAGACTCTCATATCTAGAAAGTTTCAGTAATCTACACACAGTGAGGGAACTCAGTGCCCTCAGGAGTCAGGGTCCCACAGTAAACAGTTGTGATGTTTGTAATAATAAACAGCATTTGGTTTTAGATAATCAAAAATATTTTAATTGTTTCATACTTTTGCGATATATTTAAAAATACCATACAGCAAAAGTTTAAAATTCTATTTGTACAAGTTGCTGAGTACACAAATATTTGCTTTCTTGTTATTTGACTTAAATCTATAATTACAAATGTTGTTTTACCTACACAGCTCTCCTGAATTAAATGTCTATCATCATATAGAAAAATATCCAGTATAAAAAATATCCAGTATTTACATTTTGTGTAAATCAACTCATTAGAAAATTCCCAGACAACAAAATGGCAAGATGGATCCTGCCATGGCTTGTGGAGGGCAGAACACTGAATGAAGTGGAAACCAAGGCATTACACTGAATCAAGGGGAAATGATGACACTTTGGATACCACAGTGATAGCTACTCCAGAAAGGCATAACGACCATAAATACATTTTAGTTGATTCCCAAGATAACACTTTAAAAAGGATACAGAAGAATTAGAAAATATTCAGAGGAAGTGGCCAGGATAGTGAAGACTTTCTTGTCTGAATAGAGTCATTTTTTTCCGCATCCTACATTGCTGGTATTTTAAGTGGTATTTGGGAAATACTGAATTCTGTATATTAATTTTGTACCTTGTCATATTACATAAACCTATTATTAATTCTAATAGTTCTTCAGTTTGATTCTCCCAAATTTTCCAGGTATACAATCAAATGGTATAAACATTATGATTTTATTTCTTCCTTTCTAACATGTATAACCAACCTTTTATTTTCTTATTTCATTGATGAGAAGTTCTGGAAGGGTGCTTCCGCAAGCATGTGGAAGATGGGTGTAAGTGGGTGTACTTTTCCGGCTCCTTAACATGCATGGCTTATCCTTAGAAATGAGAGTTTATTATAAAAATAAACAGTAACTTTACATAGCAAGGGAGAGAAATTTACTAATTTGCTCTACAATATCTTGCGTCCTTTGGTAGCATCCAATATGGGGCACTCCTACTAGGCAGAGTTTTAAGGCAAGAATACTCTGAGTTACTGACTGCCTTTCAGTCCAGTACTGCAGAGTTGTGTTTGGCTTATGAATAAGATGTGGTCCAGGAGGGAAGGGGTGATTTTACTCACTGACACAGAACATGAGCTGCAACCTCCGTGCCTCCCCAGGTTTGCTGAGTGATAATTGACATACAATAAGATGCACATATTTAAAGTGTATAATTTGATAAGTTTTTATAAACTACTCTTGAAACCATCACGACAATCAAGGTAATAAACATATCCATCATACACCAAAATTTCCTTATACTCCTTTATAATTATCCCGTCTCTCCTCTTCCTTCCCCAGCCACCTCCATTCCCACGCAGCCAGCCATCTGCTTTCAGTTCCTATGAATCTGTTTGCATTTTTAAGAGTTTTGTAAATGGAATTATACTGGACTCTTTTTTCGCAGGGGGGTGTCTGGCTTCTTTCACTCAAGATAATAATTTTTGATATTCATCCATGTGTGTTTATATATTCGTTAATGTATGTATTAGTAGTTTGTTTCTTTTCATTGCTGAGTAGTATTGCATTGGATGCAAAAACCACAATTTGTTCATCCATTCACAAATCGATGGACATTTAGGTTGTTTCCAGTTCTTGGCTATTACAAATAAAGCTGCTGTGTATATTCATGTATAAGACTTTATGTGAACATGCACCTTAATTTCTCTTGGTGAAATACCTAGGAGTGGAATAGCTGGGGGTAAGTTTATGATTGACTTTTTAAAAAACTGCCAAATTATTTTCCAAAGTATTAGAATGATTTTATAATCCCACCAGCTTTGTATGAGGTTCCAGTTGCTCCACATTCTCTACAACAGTTGGTATGCTCATTTTTGTTTTTGTTTGTTGTTGTTGTTACTTACTTATTTACCTACTCCACCACATGTACTGGTGTTTTTGATTTGCATTTCTCTAATGCAGGATTTTTCAACCTTATTACTAATGACATTTTGGACCAAATAATTCTTTATGTGTGGGGCTGTTCTGTTCTTTGTAGGAAGTTTATGTGCATCCCTGGCCTCTACTCACTACATGCCAGTGGTACTCTCCACCGCAGTTGTGGCAATCAAAAATGTCTCCAGATATTACCAAATGTCTCTGGGGTATAGGAGCAAAATTGCACCCAGTTGAAAACATTGCTATAATGACTAATGATACTGGCCATCTTTTCATGGGCTTATTTGCCATTGTTATACTTTCTTTGGTAAAGTGTCTTTTGAAATCTTTCGTCCATTTTTTAAAAATAAATTTATTTATGTTATTTATTTATTATTTGGCTGAGTTGGATCTTCGTTGCTGAGCGCGGGCTTTCTCTAGTTGCGGCAAGCAGGGCTACTCTTCGTTGCGGTGTGTGGGCTTCTCATTGCGGTGGCTTCTCTTGTTGCGGAGTATGCGTTCTAGGCACGTGGGCTTCAGTAGTTGTGTCGTGTGGGCTCAGCAGTTGTGGTGTGTGGGCTCAGTAGTCGTGGTGCACGGGCTTAGTTGCTCCGCGGCATGGGGAATATTCCCGGACCAGGGCTCAAACCTGTGTCCCCTGCATTGGCAGGCGGATTCTTAACCACTGAGCCACCAGGGAATTCCATTTTGTCCATTTTTAAATTGGGTTGTTTGTCTTGTTATTTTGTAAGGGTTCTTATATATTCTAGATACAAGTCATTTATTGGATATATGTTTGAAAATAATTTCTCTCATTCTATGCCTTGCCTTTACATTTGCATAGCATTGTGTTTTGAAGAGCAAAAGTTCCTAATTTTGATGAAGTCCAATTTATTGATTATTTTCTTTTATAGTTTGGATTTTTTATATTCTGTTTAAGAAAACTTGCTAAATTAAATATAACTAAAGTTTTCTCCCGTTTTCTTCTGGAAGTTTTATAGTTTTATCTATTATATTTAGGTCTATGACTAACTTTGAGTTAATTTTTGTGTGTGGTATGAGGTAAAGTCAAGGTTCACTTTTTATTTATTTATTTATTTATTTATTTAATTTATTTATTTTTGGCTGCGTTGGGTCTTCGTTGCTGTACGTGGGCTTTCTCTAGTCGCAGCAAGCGGGGGCTGCTCTTCCGTGTGGAGCAAGGGCTCTAGGCACGTGGGCTTCAGTAGTTGTGGCATGTGGGCTCAGTAGTTGTGGCTCACGGCCTCTAGAACGCAGGCTCAGTAGTTGTGGCGCACAGGCTTAGTTGCTCCGTGGCATGTGGGATCTTCCCAGACCAGGGCTCAAACCCATGTCCCCTGCATTGGCAAGCAGATTCTCAACCACTGTGCCACCAGGGAAGCCCCAAGATTCACTTTTTAAATATGGAGATCCAGTTGTTCCAGCACTTACATTGAAAAGATTATTCTTTCTCTACTGATTTGCCTTGGTAGCTTTGTTGAAAATCAGTTGTATAGGTGTGTGAGTTTATTTCTGGACTCTCCATTCTGTTCAGTTGGTCTCTATATCTGTCTTTATACCAATACCACAGTGTCTTGATTACCATAGGCTTATATAAGTGTTGCAATTGGATGGTGTACGTCCTTTTGTTCTTTTTCAACCTTGGTCTGCATGCTAGATCCTTTGCATTTCTATGTAAGTTTTAGAATCTGTTTGTCAATTCCTACAAAAAAGCCTCCTGAGATTTTTTGACTGGGATTGTGTTTAATCTGTAGAATAGGGGAGAATTGACATTTTAACAATACTGAGCCTTGTAGTCCAGTATTATGGTGGATCACTTCCATTTATTTAGGCTTTCTTTATATCTCAGCAATGTTTTACAATTTTTTTTTTTTTCGGTACGCGGGCCTCTCATTGTTGTGGCCTCTCCCGTTGCGGAGCACAGGCTCCGGACGCGCAGGCTCAGCAGCTATGGCTCACGGGCCCAGCTGCTCCGCGGCATGTGGGATCTTCCTGGACCGGGGCATGAACCCGTGTCGCCTGCATTGGCAGGCGGACTCTCAACCACTGCGCCACCAGGGAAGCCCTGTTTTATAATTTTTAACATGAGTTTTTTAACTAAAAGTTTTTAATAGGTCAAAAGTAAGTATTTTATATTTTTGATGTCATGTAAATGGTAATGTCTTATAAATTTGAATTGCTTGCTGTTCACTGCTTGTTCAGAGAAATACAATTGATTTTTAAATTGATTTCTGTATCCTGCAAACTTGATAGTTCACTTATTAGTTCTATTTTTTTCTAGCAGCTTTTATCATAAATTGTTTGGAATTTTCCACATAGACAACCATGTAATCTGTGAATAAAGGCAGTTTTACTTTTTTCCTTTTCCAATCTGGATGCTTTTTATTTATTTATTTATTTGCCTTATTGCATTAAATAGAACTTCTAGTACAATGTTGAATAGACATTGGATTTTGTCAAATATTTGTTCTGTAGCTATTGAGATAATCATGTTTCCTTTTTATTATGTTGGTATAATGAATTATATTGATTAAATTTTAAGTATTGAACCAACCTTACCTTTCTGACATAAATTCCAGTGGGTCATGGTGTACTACAGTTTTTAATATATTGCTGGATTCAGTTTGCTAAAATTTCATTAAGAATTTTTGCACCGATGTTAGGGATATTAGTCTGTAGTTTTCTTTTCTTTTAATATCTTTGTCTGGTTTTGGGATCAGAGTAATGCTGGCCTCATAAATTGAGCTGGGAAGAGTTCCCTCCTCTTCAGTCTCTGGAAGTGTTTGTATAGAAGTGGTGTTATTAAATGTTTGGTAGAACTTACCAATGAAGACACCTAGGTCTAGAGTTTTCACTGTGGAAAAGTCTTAAACTACAAATTCAGTTTCTTTAATAGATACTTGGCTATTCATGTTGTCTATTTCTATTGAAGTAGCTTCCATAGTTTATGTTCAAAGGAATTTGTGCATTTCATCAAAGTTGACAAATTATTAGCATATAATTATTCATAACATTTTCTTCTTATCCTTTTAATAGGATTGGTAGTTATTCTCTCTCTCTCTCTCTCTCTCTCTCTCTCTCTCTCTCTCTCTTTTTCCCTCCTTCCCTCCTGCCCTCTCTCTCTCTCTCTTTGTACTGGTAATTTGTATATTCTCTCTTTCTCTCTCTCTTTTTTTTTTTTTCCTGGCTGGGCCACCGCCTTGTGGGATCTTAGTTCCCCGACCAAGGATTGAACCCAGGCCACAGCAGTGAAAGCGCCAAGTCCTAACCACTGGACTGCCAGGGAACTCCTATATTCTCTCTTTATAACCTGCTCAATCTGGCTAGAAGTTTAACAATTTTCTTGATCTTTTCAAAGAACCAACCTTTAATTTTATTCATTTGGCAAAGGTTTTTAGATATGACATCAAAAATATAACCTATAAAATAAAAAAGTTGATAAGTTTGATTTTATGAAAATGAAACATCTTTGCCCTACAAAAACGCATTGTTAAGAGAATGAAGGACAAGTCATGAACCTGGAGTAACATTTGCAATCCACATATCTTGTAGGCAACTTGTATCCAGAATATATAAGGAACCCTCAAAAGCCAACAATAAGAATATAAACAACCCAGTAAAAATGGGCAAAGGATCTAAACAGACACTTTACCAAAGAAGAGATACATGTCAAATAAGCATATATAAAGATGCTAAATATTTTTAGTTATTAGGGAAAGGCAAATGAAAACCACAATGATCTACCACTGAATACAGTACCTTTAGAGGGGCTGAAATTAAAACACAGTAAATAGCAAGTGTTGACAAAGTGTTGCCATATATTGCTGGTGGGAATGCAAAATGTTATAGCTACATTGAAAACAGTTTGGCTGTTTCTTATAAAGTTAAACATACATTTACCATGTGCCCCAGCAATCCCATGGTATTTACACAAGTAA